ATGAGATAGTTGAGGAAAAAAATTGGTTTGGGTGGTCCTTTGGAACTGATGTCGAAGGTTGCTAGTAGAGAAGCTGAGAAAGAAACTACTGAGAATGAGGGCTCGGAAGATGAAGGTTTGATCGTCAATTCTGATGAAGAAGCAGTGGCGTTCTATTAAAACAATCGAGTGAATAAATTTTTCAAAAAGCTATTCAATTTGAAGACAAGAATGAGTGAGGTGAAAGGAAGTTCTTCTGGGAAGAATGTAAATGAGGAGAAGAGAGTTGAGAAGAAGGAAGTAAATACTGAGGAAACAAAGATAGAGAAGACACTCAAAGGAGATTTTGGATTTGACTGCCATTTCTAAGTTTGACAAGGTCCCAATAGATCGATATGCATATGGTATTGTTAGAATTAGTGAATGTTTTGATGCAAATGATCTTGTTGATATTGTAAATGAGATCTTGACCAAAAACGAATAAATAATTTTTTTGAAAAGAACTGACAATTCGACATCTAACTCTCAAAACAATATTGTTGATATCAAAGATGACTCTGATGATATTAGTGAAATTGAGGAGGAGGAAGTTATTGATTGTTCTCAGTTATCCGTAATTAATGTCACTTCGATGGCTAAGGGTAAAGAAATAAGTAAGGATTATTCGGTTAAAGTTAACACTGATCAACCCTCGACTTCGAAAGTTCATAATCATGATCATGTGATTGTCGAGGATAGTCAAACAGATAGTAATGATGATGAAGTTTCGAATGACAAAATATTCCAAGGGTTGTTGTTGATCAAGTTTATGAGGAATCGAAAAAGTTCGAAAAAGTCTTGAAAGAAAAAGGTCCTCATTATCTTGAATCGAATTCAATGGTATATCCAAACTTCAAATGCACTGATAACTTGATATTTCTGAATCAAGTGTTTGTTACAATAGGAAATGGTGAAAAGTTTAATCCCGAAATTAATAAAATCATTGTTAAGGACAACCAAGTAGCATCGAAAGAAGGATTTTTCTCAAACCAAAGCACTGTTGAAAATAATCTCAACAAGAACTCGTTTACTTTTCAAAGACAAAAACCACAAAGAATTTTTTTTTTGCAAAAATATAAGATTACTATACAACTCAAGTTTTCTTTTTAGTTCAATATATATCGATTGAAGGCAAACGGGCAACAAGCTGCATTGCTAGCCCTTTCTGGATGACAAAACTAATTCTTTTGAAAACAATATTTGTGGATCTAGGAGATATGACATTAGAATCCATGACCTGTTGGACTCTGTTGAGGAGCTCCACCGCCTTTGGTGCGAGAAAACCAAATGTATCAAATGCAAAAGGTACAAACACATGTTGATTTTCTATACATCCATTCTCGTGCTTTACCAATTTGCACGCAACGACTTTCAGTTTTAACTACCCAAAGAAATTGGGTAGTTAAAACTGAAAAACCAAAAGTTGAACAACAAGAAAATGTCGATGTTTCTGAAAAATCAAAATCGAATGCCCAAAGTTTTAAAGAACAAATTGAAAAGATTTCTAAAGAAAATGAGATTTCAATGACAAAAGTGAGAAATAAGGTTTATTTGCAAAATATTGAGTCTCGAAAGAAACAAAATGTTTTGTTAATTAAATCATCTGAAGCAATTGAGTCTAAATCAGTTCAGACATCTTCTCAAAACAATTCTTTTATTAAGAAAACACTCGCTCAATCACCAAAAGATTTGTCAAAAATTCAACCATAAAAAGAAAACTCCAAAAGTAAACTACAGATTTCGCAATCTAATTCTAAACCGAATTTTCAAAAATCCAACAATGAGAATTTTATACAATCTCAATCATCAAGAAAATATGTTACTAATCAACATGCAAGGTTTTCTTGAAGTCATTCTCAAAGAAAAGGTTTTAAATTCAATGAACCAAGGAATTGTACTCAATTCCCAAGTCAAAGAAGATTTTTGAATGGTCCACAAGTTTTTCATCAATCAAATGTTGGTTATCACAATCATTTTCAAAATCTTTTTCAACCACAAGTAAAACCTGGGTTTTCAGAACAACATTTTGAAAAGCTAAATGTAAATACAAAGAGAAATGCGACATTCAAACCCATACAACCTAATTTTCCCAATCCTCCTCCGAAGAAGCCAAGTAACGCTAAGGAATAACAGATGTCAAAAACATCAATCAATTGTTAGAAGGAAAAGACAAAATTTATCAAACTGGGAAGTTTTCAGAAAAAGAGATCAAGGTTACTTATGAAAGTTATTTGAATGAGTCTTTACATGGAAGCTCTTCATCCAAGGAGTCGAATCCTTCTGTTTGACAGTGGAGAGTTGTTCCAAAAGCGAAAGTTGATAAGAAACGAACTGAGAAGGTCAAAGGGAAAGTCAGTGTTGATTCTAAACCAATGAATGATTCATTTCAATACTTGTGTCTAACAAAGTGGACTTAATTGATAGTTTGAAATCAAAAGTTCGTAATTGGGTCTTAGCATCTTCATTTCATCATGCATTTTGTTCTAATAACCAAGGACCCAAACAGCCTTTGGGACCTAAATTCTTTCACTGATTGCAGGTTTTGTATGATGACCAATATGATGAAAAGTGGTACATTGATAGTGGATGCTCTCGTCACATAACTGGAAAAGAAGGAAAACTTAAGAGATTTTCGAAGTCTGGAAAATGTTGGTGTAGTGAAGTTTGGAAATAATAACAAATGCAAAGTCAAAGGATATGGCAAAGTTACGAATGGAAAGTTCACAGTTAACAGAGTTGCATATGTCAAAGGTCTTCAACACAACTTGATAAGTATTTCGCAACTTGTTGTGGGCACTGGCAATCAGGTTGTTTTTTATGAAGAAGGGAGTGTGATTTCGAACAAAGAAGCGAAAGAAGTTCTACTTAAATCCAAAAGAAAAGGTGATATGTTTACCCTTGACATCAAACCAATAGTTGGTGTTCCCTCGGTTTGTCTACTTTCGAAAGCTTCATCAGATATAAGTTGGCTATGGCATCGACGTCTTTCTCACTTGAATATCAAGAATTTGGACAAAAATAGAGAAGATTGACATCTCCTGGCATTTGTTGGCTATGGCATCGACATCTCTCTCACTTGAATATCAAGAATTCACTTTCTTCAACAAAAGAAAGAAAATAAATCAATATAAACCCTCGATTAGGATTCCCCAAAGATGAATTCAGAAGATTGACATCTCCTAGCGTCGCTATCGTAGGAAATTGGATATAAATTATGGATAAGAACGATATACTAATGGAGAAGGCGTTAAGTGAAAAGTTGGAAGAGGAGTTGAGAGGCTTGAATGCGGTGGCAGAGGGTTGGAAGAGGTTCATGGAACGTATGTCGAAAGCATGAACCGGTGACCGTAACACAGAAGAATTTAAATTGGTGAACCTTATCAATTGATGTAGTCTAGGAAGTGCCGACGAAGGAGAGAGCAGGCAACAGTGGTGAAGACGGATGGTCGAACTGGTGGCAGATAAACATAGATCGACCCTCAAATAGACATAAGCTTCAAATACGATAGTATTGCAGGAATCGGAGAGAGGACTAATGCTACCGATGAGTAAGCGGATGCCCTATGTAGTCAACCATGCAGTCCGTTGCGACCGACTGACCACAGAGAAGTCGAAGAAGCGACGGATATTGAATGGGAAGTTAAAAGAGGGGATGATGGTTGTGGAAGAAAGAAGGTTGTCTACTAAGATGATAGAAGCGGTGCCTTAACCCTGGTAAAGTAACCCTCTTTGGGAGAGAAGACGTAAAAGATGGAGAGAAGTAGGTTGTGGAACATGAAGATGACATAACAAGAGTGGTAGGTGAGGCGGTGGGAAAATACATAAGTCACGTATCTGATAGTGTCAGAAGGTTGGCAATGGTGGAATAAACCCAGAACGTAGAAATTAAATAAATCAAAATATGAAAGAAATGAGCAAAATATGAAAGAAATGAGCAGAACTGTAACTACACACATAAACAAATGACTAATTTTTCCAAATGCTTAAGTACTTTACTGTTCCTAACTTAGGACATTTTTAATATATATATATATATATATATATATATATATATATATATATATATATATATATATATATATATATAACGTATCAGGGGTAAAATGGAAAAATAAATAACGTATCTGATGTGGTTAAATGAGTTGTAGGAATGCATATAAAACAAAACAGATAGCATAGGGGCGAAACTGGAATTAATATAAATTTTACGGAGTTAAATCAGAAAAAGAGAAATAGGATATTAGTATTTCGATAAGTAGCTACAATATTAGTTTACATAGCAGGGGTAAAATGGGAAAATAAATAACGTATATGATGCGGTTAAAACAGTTGTAGGGATGCATATAAAACAAAATGGATAGCACAGGGAAAAACCAGAATTAATATAAATTTAGTAAAAGACTTAGAAATAAAGAAGGTATTTACTTCCAGAACCAACACATTGGATAGGCGGACAAATGAAGAAGTAACATAGAAAAGGACATAAGTTAATTAGCTGCAATATCAGATCACATAGCAGGGGTAAAATGGGAAACTAAATAACATATCTGATGCGGTCAAAGCAGTTGTAGGGATGCATATAAAACAAAAAAATAGCATAGGGACAAAACTGGAAGTAATATAAATTTAGTAAAAGACTTAGAAATAAAGAAGGTATTCACTTCTTAAGGAAATCGATAGGCGGAGAAATGAAGAAGTAACATGGAAAAGGACATAAGTCTGTAAAGTTTTAGTTGATATTGACCTTTATACACTGTGGGTAACATTTGATACAAACGATTATTAGGCTAGCAGATATAGGAAAGGAAATGTAAACGTACATGCATCAACATCACCATAGGTTTTGTCCTCCTTAAGGAAATCGATAAATTCATGGACTTTCACATGGAAGATTCTGGCTATGATATCCGCTCTGTTGTGTACATCTCTCTGTGAATGTGTCTCCATATAGCGGGTAATCTCTGGCCACTTCACATTACACGTCAAAGTGATAAAATACTGTGGATTGCCATAAACTCTACAGATCGTAAGCGCATCCTGATAATGGCTATACATAAACCAGGGACCACCAGTGAAGTGAAGGATGCGGGCAAGAAAACATGCTTCCCAACAACACGTGCTTCCCGGTCCCCCTTTGATAGCGCATCATAAAGCCCACTCACATAATCGGAACGTAAGTTTGATTGATATTTGGTTATATAATCTAATCGGCCTTCCTCTATACACGTATATGCATCAACTAAATATTGTTGGAAAAGCCTAGTGGCATTTACAATTGGAGACCAAATCTGATGTCGGGCATGTGTATGGTACGCGTAATACATATTGACAGTGAGACTTTTTGCACTTACTCCCCTCTGATTACGCATCTTCAAACGGGGTGACCACCCTTCCTCACCGTAAGGAAACAAAAGTGGATATTGTAAAGGCATATAAGAGGGATGCAATTTACTAATGCGTTGAGGCCGACCTGAATGCGAAAATACAACGATGTCATATGTCATACTGGTAGTGTCATCACCAGTTACTATACATCCCAAGGATCCAGCGGAAGGCAATTCATACCTACGATAAACAACGTTGTTAAACAGCCGTACACTATAATTTTGTAAATTATTTTCCTCAGTTATGGCCTTTGTTGTTTTAAATTTTTTGACATACTCGTTGTTTTAAATTTTTTGACATACAGCCGTACACTATAATTTTGTAAATCCATTCCCGCTGGACCACCAAAAGCCCTGAATCTATTTCGAACCTCATTCCTTGTATCAAAAAGATAAAGTTGCAGAAATCTAGGGCCCTTTGTAGGATCCGGGGACAACGATCCTATCCTATGACAAATTTGACCAAATATCTTGAAAACATAAGGGCCCCGATTGTCATTGACAAACTTATCTACATTCGCCCCAAATGAAGCCATAGAGAACATGCTATTATATGTCGTAATGTCTTTCAAAAATCTAGCATTTTGATACAAATCAAGAAATTCAGGATGAAACCTCGAAGGATAAGGAAGAACGACATCACCATCCTGACAACAATGATAATACTTCGGATGACCAGGCCTAGAAAGTCTGAGCGCCGTTTCAACATACAAGAAACAGGCGCCACAAAATTCGCAAACACACGTACAGTCACCCGAATCAACATAGTCAGGAAGGCCGGCAAAGAAGAGAGAATGACGCGACCTGCGAGTTCTTGGAACAGAGGACGAAGCACCAGGTGAAGATAATCGTTTGGGTCGACGGGCCATAATAAATCGATCGAAAAAAAGTGACACAACAACACTGAAAGACAACAGAGACGATATAGGAAAAGAATAAAGAGAATTTACCTTTTGGAAGAATGAACTAAGAACAAAAAAGGAAGAGCGGTGGAGAAGAAAGCAAAAAGAAATTGGGAAGCAGAACACGTGGATCATAAAGGAAATGAGAAAAGGCCACGTACACAGAAGTCAACAGTAGACCTTAACAAAAGGAAAAACAGATAAAATAAGAGAATGACAAACAAAAACAACTACAGGGTTAAAACCAACAATTCCACAAACAAAGACAACTACAGGGTTAAAACCAATAATTCCACAAAAGAAAAATAAAGAATAGGGGAACTTCCAAATTAGAAGGACTATAAGTGTCCCAAAATACAACAATTACTACAACAATTACTGTAGATAAGAGATGAAAATTTTAATATATATATATATATATATATATATATATATATATATATATATATATATATATATATAATAACTAAGTCAAAGTAAGAGGGTTTAATCTGAGGTACGTATAATTAACATCCAATAAAAAAAATCGAAGTGTTTTGACATCTATTGATTTTTTTTTTGAAAATAGAACTTCCCTAATAATAGTTTCGGGTCAGCTTCTGCACACCAACTAATTATCTACGGTAAAAATGAGGTTAGGTCCAATTTCTGGAGTCTTGCAGACTAACCTACATGGCTACGTAGCTGAGTAATATTATGATTTGAACATAAGTAAATAAGTTATCTGTCATATCTTTTACATAAATAATTCAAAACAAAATGATATAAATAATTAATTCATAGCAGCAACAACAACAACAACAACAACAACAATAATAATAATAATAATAATAAAAAAGAAAGATATAAAAAAACATAAAACCAAAACAAAACAAAAAATTGATAAAAAGAAATCAATTTAAGTTTATTTAAATCAAATCAAAGAAGGACGTGGATTTAAGTCAAATTAAAGATGATATATATATATATATATATATATATATATATATATATATATATATATATATATATATATATATATATATATATATATATATATATATATATATATATATATATATATATATATATATATATATATATATATATATACAACACCATTAAGTAAATAGGTATAGTAAATCTCACTTACACCTTTGTTGAAGGCAAAAATTTTGCTAAAGAACTCGCTATAGTATATTCGATACAAGCATGATATCATGAAAAAATTGGGTTAAAGACTAGTCTTTTCTAAAAGTTGTATCCAATCTTGAATTATTTCAAGAATATCCAAATTATAAAAACCTTATATGTATCTCTAGTAAACTTTTTGAATTATCTTCGTAGTTTGCACATTGTTGCAACGTACATTTTTTTTTTTTTTTTTGAATGGATTGTAATTTAATCTTAAACTATATCGTATGAAAGACACATTGTCTAAGTGGAGATACCACTTCAAACCAAGAAATGATATAGTTGTATGTACGTGTTACTAATTTAGTTTGTAGTTTGTACATGCAGCTTATATAGTTGTGAAGGAAAGTGCCTGTCTATATAAGCCTATCTAGAAAATGTTTTACATGAATATTGTGGAGTAATTGGAGCAAACATGTAATAGACTATACCACACGAAGAAAAGACCATTCGTTGACTAGTCAACTGGGGATCTCGATAGGTATGTTTTATGAGATCTTAAGGAAGCTTCAAAAACGGTCAAACCCTTGGTTTGTGCCCCTTCAAATATTACCGTATTTCAAAATTTGCCTTATGGATGTGATATATGACACTACCCAACCCCCTTCTAAGAATAAGCAAAAAAAGATGTCTCAAAGGGTTAACAATCTTTTCATTTTGGGTTAATGATTTATAAAGATAACAAAAATATGTTGTATACATGTTTAGTAGTCGTTGAGTTTTATTTTGTTTATTTATTTATTTATTTTTTTATTGTTTGTGAATAATAATATACAAAAAACAAAATTAATTAAATATATACACAATTAAAATTTTTATTACTCTTATAAGTCATTAATTCATTCATTCAATTCAATTCCTTTTTTTCTTAATCAAAGTATGTGTTGCCATAATTATTCTTTTTTCTTATGTTATTATACATATTGTATTCCCGATACTATTAAAATGCAAAATAATAATATGAACTAATTAAAAAATATCTAATAAATAAACGTGTTTTAAAGAATGTTTTATATACTATTGAAATTTTAAATAAAAATTCGGTTTAATTTTTTTGCAATATCAATAACATACGGCCACATCCAAATTGCATGAAATCATCAACTCTAGTTTGATATTTTGGTTTTCTTAATCAATAGAAGGAAATTTTAGAAATTTGAATACCATGGAAAATAGAGGTATCACTATATAAACATTTCAAATACTAAGGGGGTGTTAATGTTTAAATTGATTTCCAAAGGAACAACATGTCCATCTTAAAGTCTTCAAGGGGTCAAAAGTAAAATATTCATTTAAAGCAAGCGAGTTTTACCATGAAACTAGAAAATTCTTCCGTCTATTTTTTATTTTTCCATCTCTCTCGACGGCTGCCTCCCAGAGCCACCCTTCACCGGCGAAAGAAACCAAGTAAGTCACCGTCTTTTTCTAAACTCTTTAACACCCATTTCAATTAACAATACCCAGATCAGATCTCACATTTTGCATCAATTTGATGGCAATCTCACAATCTAGTTTGCTAGTTTCAATATGGTTTCTCATTTACCTATTTGTATTCACCAACTTAGATCCAGTTTCTTCTCAAAATTGCCCCCAATCCAACACTTCTCTACTTAATTTCACTACCCAGTTTGTTATGGTTCAGCATCAGCTAAGAGGGTCGTTTAGCATAATCAATGATTGTTCTTTTAGGGTTAGTGAATTCGATATGCTTCCTGGTAGTTCTCATGTTCATTGGTGGGGTGCTCTTGGTGACAATTACGAGAATTTAACATCTGGGTTTGTTATATCCGATGAACAATTGAACACCACAACTTACAAAAACGATACATTCACTGTTAACTTGATGAAAAATATCACTTGGGATCAAATTAGGGTTGTTTCCGTTTGGGATACTTCCATGTCATCCGATTTCGGCCATGTCTTACTGCAAAATTCAGAAGAGTTACCTCCTGACCCATCAAATTCTAGCCTTGAGATTCATCAGGAGCCAACAATGTTTGAAAATTGTAAAGTGTTATCAGATACATACAGATTAAGATGGACTTTGAGGGAAGACAAGAATGTAATTGATATCGGTTTAGAAGGTGCAATCGGAATCCAGAATTACATGGCGTTTGGGTGGACTGAACCTAACCGGGAACACGATCATATGCTTAACGCTGATGTGGCGTTCACAGGTTTTACAGAAGAGGGTGTTCCATTTTCAGATGATTATTATATCACCAAGTATAGTGAATGTATAAAAAACGAGAATGGTCAATTCGAGGGCGTATGTCCCGACTTCCGGTATAACCATTCCGATTCCAATTCCGATTCCGATCCCAATTCCGATTCCGTTAACAATACAAATTTAGTTTACGGTCACCGGAAAGACGGAGTCTCCTTTATTCGGTATCAACGTCCGTTAAAATCCGTAGACAAAAAGTACGATTGGGATATCGATGTTAACACCGAAAGAACATGCATTTGGGCTTTAGGGTTGATAAAACCACCAGATTCCATCCGCCCATTTTACCTCCCCCAAAACCATGGAAAAACATTCGGGCACGTTCATATAAACGTTTCGGGCAGGGTCAACGATTGTTTCGGGCCACTAGATGCCGAAGAAAAAGAAGATCAAGAACTCGTGATTGCAAATCAAAAAGAACCATTAATTGTCACTTCGGGTCCTTCTTTACATTACCCGAATCCACCAAATCCTTCAAAAGTTTTGTACATCAACAAAAAACAAACCCCTGTTTTACGGGTCGAACGTGGGGTTCTCGTAAAATTTTCAATCCAAGCGGGCCATGACGTGGCATTTTATGTCACGTCAGATCCGCTTGGCGGGAACGCGACGGTTAGAAACGCGTCAGAGACGGTTTATGTCGGCGGGCCCACGGCTCAAGGAGTTCAGTCAGACCCGCAAGAATTGTTATGGTCACCGGACCGAAATACCCCTGACCAAGTGTATTATCAATCGGTTTTTACTCAAAAAATGGGGTGGAAAGTTGAAGTTGTGGATGGTGGTTTAAACGATATGTATAAAAATAGCGTTTTATTAGACGATCAACAAGTCAACTTCTTTTGGACATTATCGGAAAAATCGATTTCGATAGCGGCCCGTGCGGAAAAGAAAAGCGGGTATCTCGCGGTCGGGTTCGGGTCGGAAATGGAGAACAGTTTCGCGTATGTCGGATGGATCGATCTAAACGGGTCGGGTCGGGTCGACACATATTGGATCGATGGAATGAACGCTCAAAGTCTCCACCCAACAAACGAAAACTTAACCTACGTTCGATGCAAATCAGAAAGCGGTGTCATTACTCTCGAATTCACCCGCCCGTTGGATCCAAATTGTGACCCGAAAACCCGACCCGAATGCAACAACATCATCGAACCCACCACCCCTGTGAAACTCATCTGGGCCATGGGGGCGAAATGGTCCGCAGGTCATTTAACACAAAGTAATATGCATTCGGTTAAAAGTAGTAAACCGGTTCGGGTGTCGTTGATCCGCGGGTCGGCGGAAGCCGAGGAGGATTTACGCCCCGTGTTGGCGGTACACGGGTTTATGATGTTTCTCGCGTGGGGGATTTTACTCCCGGGCGGGATTTTAGCTGCCCGATACACGAAACATCTGACCGGGGACATATGGTTCAAGATTCATGTCTACTCGCAATACTCGGGGTTAGCAATAACATTTCTCGGGCTACTTTTTGCAATTGCAGAGCTTCGTGGTTTCCATTTGGAATCTTTACATGTCAAATTTGGAATCTTGACTATTTTAACGGGTTGTATACAACCGGTGAACGCGTATTTTAGACCGAAAAAACCCGTAAACGAAAACCCGTCATCGAAAAGGGCGATTTGGGAATTTGTTCACTCGTACACGGGCCGATCCGCGATTGTAATGGGGATTGCTGCTCTTATTAGTGGAATGAAGCAATTAGGAAACCGATATGATGACAAAAACACAATCGGGTTAACATGGGCTTTGATTATCTGGGTCGGGTTATGCGGTTTGACCGTTTTGTATTTGGAATACGTGGAGCAAAAGCGGAGACGGGAATCGGAATCGGGATTGGGTGGGAATTGGGTTTTGGGTAATGGGGAAGATGAGGATGCCGATCTTTTGGGGAATGGGAATGGGAATCACAGGGAGAAGGAATCGGAATCCGAAAGAATGGAGATCCAGCTGGAACCTGTGTCGGGGAGGTACACGGTTATTTGAAAGTACGAGATATGGTGATGTGTTTTATTTGTTTATTTTTGGTTATTTTTATGTAAAACTGTGTCTACCCGATTGCCGGTTTTGATGTTCGACGGCTTTCTGTGTGTATAGATTACGAGTTTGCTGTCTTTGTTAGGGTCCCATGATCGAGAGGGAAAAAAAAAAAAAAAGGATATATCTTATGTACTTGTCTTTAATTTTTATACCCGATACTGTTACTTTTATCAAGAATTAACATATTTGCAATTTCTTTTTGTCTATAATATATAGTTGGTATTCTCTTGTTTATGTAACCTCTATATAACAAACAATAAACCAGTAGTACTTTTTGAAATCGTGACAAATTCTAATTTTAGTAAGATAAGTTTAAGTAACATTTGTGCCTCCAAGAGCCTCGTTCTTGGACTTGGTGAATATACTCGTGTGAAGACAGTTTATAAGAAAACATTAAAACATATAAGAACGTTAAGCGAGCTTCTCATTGCACTTTTACATAGATATAAATATTAAATAACATTCGACCAACTATCGATTTAACCATGTTTCTGATGCTGCACTCGAAATTGCCCAATCCAAATCTTGGCCCAAGGCCCAAAAGAAATAACCACCTAGGGCCCAATTTCGTGCATAACGCACCTTCAATTCAATCGATCGAACATCATCATATGATACCCAGGAATCCCCGGAATATGAATAATATGAAACCATCGTGTTATCAAATACAATAGTTGAATTGTTCTCCTTATTGAAATCGATAACTTGAGAGTAAACCAATAGACCACTTCCCGGCCCCGTCCCGATGGTCGGGGCCCCAATGATGTTATCATTTCGGTCCTGGAGTGACCATGTTGGGCCATACAATGGCATGCCCAACACAATCTTTTCTGATGGCACACCGGCCTGAATCCACGACCCGATACCAAAATCTGTGCTGAGATTGGTGTTCGGGTCATATAATGCAGAACCTAACCCTGTAAAATTGTCCCAAGATCCATGATAACCAAAACACATCGGACTAACCCAATCAACATATTTAGTTATTTCCACAATTGGGTACGATCGGGGTCCACCGTTAAAGGAGACAGTTGAGGCATAATAGACTGCTGACGTCAGTATAAGACGTGGTCTACCAGTGGCATGAGCCTCATATTCAATTGCCTCGCGCCATTCCTTAAATAACAAACCGAGGTTTGACATATCAGATTCGTTTGACGGGAGTTCCCAATCAAGATCAACCCCATCAAAATTGTAATCACGGGCAACTTCGATAGTTGAATTAATAAAGTTCGCTCGAGAATACTGCTCGCTCGCCATCGAAGAGAAGATGCCGGGTAATGCACCACCTCCCCCACCTCCAATCGACAACACAGTCTTAGCTGGCGGGTTCCAAAGACTTGTTGCATTGGTAAATTCTAGTAGCTTCTCGACATCATCTGACATGATGTCGAGCGCGTAAGTTGTTGGAGATGGTAGGACGAATGCATAGTAAATATGAGAGAAGTAGGATGTGTCGATAGAAGAAGCGGGATATCCGGTGAACGAAGGCCAATATGCTGCTCGGACTCCTTGAGGTTTCGAAGAGACAATTTCACTGTGATCCAAGGGAAAATTAACGATGGTTAAGAATACGAATAATATGAGTCTTAGGCTAACCATGCTTGGGTTAATTTTTGTCTTGGTTTTAATGAGAAAATCTCTAATATATCTATATTTATAATCCTTGGTGAAAATCTACTTTTAGGGTTTGAACGTGTTTATGGTCAATAAGTTGTTAAAATGGACAAAAAGGAGAGAATCTATTACAAGAAGACGATGGGTTCTTGCTCCATTTGTGTTCAATAAGTTTGGTGGCTTCACACGGCTAGAACAAATCTTGTGTCATTAAAATGACTCTTTTTTCCGCATGTAATACAAACTAGAAGTATGATGAATCAAACTATGACAAGAGGAAAAAGTTAAGGTCAAGTATTAGTTACAATAAAAATCATCCCTGAACTCTTTTCTTTTTTCTTTCATTTTAAATTAAGGTGTTACAAAACTATAATTTGTGGATAGCCAAACTCCTTAAACCCAAAAATATATTATTTGCCGTTAGCTTCTTTTTATTAAATCGAAGTATGTTTTGGTTTTGGTTCCTAGTTTACTTTAAAAGTGTAACGCTCTCGTTTATTTATACTATAAAAATATTATTTTATAACTACACTCTATACTATAAAAATAAATATTATTTTTCAAGTTCCAAAACTATATAATCATATTTGTTTTCTATCTCCTTCAACCACTAATATATATATATATATATATATATATATATATATATATATATAATATATATATATATATATATATATATATATATATATATATATATATATATATATATATATATATATAAACAGGATCCGGTGAAAACTCATTTTAAAATGAGGATTCATAAGGACACCTTAAAATAACTTTAAAAAAAAATTTTTAAAGAAAAATACAAATCATAAAATCGAGCATAGATATATGTTCAGGATAAAAAAAAATGAGAAAATTTGTTTTGGAACATTAAAATTAAATCATAGATCATAATGATGCAAAAAAAAAAAAAAAATTGAATCATGGATTAATTTTAATTATGCAAAAAAAAAAAATTCATTTTTTCTCCTCAACATAGATTTATGCTCGATTTTATGATTTGTATTTTTTTAAGATTTTTTATCAATTTTTAAAGGTATCCTCACTTTAAAATTAGTTCTCACAAGACCGTTTATATATATATATATATATATATATATATATATATATATATATATATATATATATATATTCTCCGGCTATCTTTACTTGTATTTCTTTTTATTCTGCTTTATATATATATATATATATATATATATATATATATATATATATATATATATATATATATATATATATATATATATATATATATATATATATATTTTTATACAATGAAGAATGTGATCAAGATAATATTTTATTAATATAATATTATCCTAAATTCCGATTAATATTTATTAGATAACAGTTTACGTTATCTTTTGTTTATGTTTTTAGGATTTAAAAAAAAACATATTATGTTTTGATAAAACTGTACAAATGGTCCATATGGTTATCTGAAGATTGACATTTTGATCCAAAAATGTTTGCACTAGCATCAGAGTCCAAACTTTTCATTTTGTTGTGGTCCAAAGTATTTTCAAAATATCTAAAATGAAAGATTTGCCCTTGAAGTTTTCTTTTTTCAATTTCTTTATTAAGCTTATCTATAAAAATTAATAATAAAGAAAATGAAAACACCCCTCCTCTGTTACACCTTTATATTTTTGTAAACAGCCATTTGAAGCCACCACCAGTCAAAGCATAACCACCATAATTAAAAGTCGTTGCCAGTAGCATAGTCACCATCACCTTAATCTGATAGAAAGGAGATGAAGAGATACATTTAGGAGAAAGAGAGTCATACGTAGATCGGAGCTAGAAATTTGTGAAGACGAAGGAATCCCTTTATCTCTCTCTCCTTCTATCATTGAAGCTTTTTTAATAGATATGGGAAACGGAGAAGACGAAGGGTGGCGGCTGTGTAGGGAGGTCTCTGGTGGGGGAAGTGAAATTTTCTTAATCATTTGAGAGGGAGGACAATGTTATCGTCTTCGTCAGATGAATAGATCTGGATACCACCTTCCTGAAACCTCAACAAAGATGAAGACAGTGGTGGTGGTGAATGTTTCCATAGCTTGAAGCCAAAACAGAAATGAGAGGATTCATCACCACTACGGCCGCAGATTTGTAAACGCAAAGCCACCTCTATCGCCGAAGATATGTCCATCTTCACCAATGGCATCACTGTCGACCCCAACGACGCCAACAATTAGGGTTTGTTGTGATGATGATGACATCTCTAGGGTTTTGCGACGATGTACAAGTCTGATGAAAATCGATTCTAAATTTATGATCGTTCTTGTGGGTTTAAATCTCTAGTTGTTCTTGATTTTGAGGTTGTAGATTAAAATGTAATGTTTTATTTTCCAAATCCATAACAAATATCTTTGTATTCATCAGATAATGATAGTAGTTCTTGAGTTTTAATTTATGTTGTTGTGGTGTTGGTGGTGATCGGTATTGGCAGTGGCAGTAGCGATTATCAGTGACCAACGATGGTGGTAGCAGTGGTTGTGATGGCGGACGGTGGTGGTGATAGCACAACCAGTAGTGGTATGAGAGAGAGGGGAGGGTGGGGAAGGGACAGGGGTAGTATTTTCTTTTTTGTTTTATTTTTAATTATGAAAATTGTAAAATATATTTAAATAAATAAATAAAAACTGAAAAAACTCAAAAGGAAAAAAGTTCAAAGCAAATTGAATAATGGCAAAATCGTCATTATAAAAAAGTTCAAAGCAAATTGGATCAAACTCGCAACAAAATGAAAACTTTGGATATCTGATGCTAATCCAAACTTTTTTGGACCAAAGTGATAATTTTCAGGTAACCACATGTACCATTGATGCAGTTTTGTCTTATGTTTTTGACATTTTATTTGAAGCCGGTTAGGTTCTTTATGAATTTGAAGCATTGGTCAATCTTTTCAAGATAGGGTTAATAACATAGAAAAGGGTAATAAAGTTTTAATTTTGTTCATATTAAGTCCTTATGATTTTCTTTTTGTATATATTACACCAATATAGTTGTTACAATCGTTTAAATGTCGTCCCTCTTTCCGTTTAAAAAGATGACATTTAAAGGGTTATAACAACTATGCTGGTGTAATATGTACAAAACAAAACCCTAACCACCTAATGTGGACAAAACCTTATTACCCTCCTAGGTCATTAATACTTGGAAGCTTTTAAAATAATTACATAAATGGACTTTACAATTTACAAAAAAATCACAAATTTAGTATTTAGTTTTTTTTTTTTTTTTTTTTTTTTTTTTTTTTTTTTTTTTTTACACGGATAGTTTTGTGGTTCCAACTTCGAGTTGCATGGATGCTTGTA